CGAACCCATGGGCTCAGGCAATCCACTCACCTCAGCCTCCCAAGGCGTGGGATTACAGGCTGAGCCACCGAGCCTGGCTGCCTGTTTGTTTCTAAGAGTGCTACACAGAACCTGTCGGTGGTGTATGTGACTCATTTAGGTATGATAGAGGATCTTGCTCTGTTGCCCAGGCTAGAGTGGCACGATCATAGCTCAGTGCAGCTTTGAACTCCTGGCCTCAAATGAGATGGCTTTCACACCTCAGCCTCCTGAGTAGCTGGAATGACAGGTGTCCGCCACCACACCCGGCTAATGTATTTTCTATTTTTTTGTGGAGATGAGGTCTTGCTACGTTGCCTGGGCTGCAAGGGAGGATGTAACAGATGTGCTGCATGTGCCTGCTGCCTTGTGCAGGTGGGGCGGGCAGGCATTTCTTGTCCATCCTGGAAGTTTCTCCATTTATGTAAGAGCCCACTGCTGCAGGCTGTCTTCTCGGGGCATCCCAGGAGGTCAGCAGCTAGACTTGGTCTGTATGCAGTGAGAAACAGGCCTCCCAGTTTTTCCTGGGGTCCTGGCCCACCTGGGGGCTGTGTGTGTCCTGTGGGTAGGGCCACAGCTGCAGCGAGACCCCTGCTTCTAGTTTGAGGTGGGTTTCTTCAGGGAGTGACTCTTGCAGGGCCTGGGCATCAGGGCAGATGCCAAAGGGGTGTGCTTCGCGGTCGTCTGGGAGAGAGCAGCGTGACCGCGGCGGGCTCCGTCCTGCCCTGGGTCTCCCTGGGGTGCGCCGGGTGGCCATTGCCGTCTGCACAGAATCCGCCAGTGGTGTGGGTGGCTTGTTGAGAAGTGATGTCGATGGAAGCCCAGTGGCCCTCTGGAGCGCTCCCATTTTCCGTCGTGTGTTCTTAGGCCGCATGCAGGCAACCACAGACCGAGGAGGCCAGGTAGAAAGCAATTTCCTCGGGAGACTTTGTCCTGGATTTTTGTCTCCTCTGGCTTTCGGAGGCAGTGGGCTTTGGGGCTTTGCTTGACTGGGGTTGAAGGTCAGCCCACTGGCACTGAGGGCCCCTCCCCGTACTGTGGCTTCCCGGGGCTGCCCGCCCGCCCTGGACGCCCGTGTCCCTGCAGCGAGTCCTCCTCCTGCTTGGGCTACCAGCCCGGGTGCTCTGGTCAGGAGGCCGGTGACTCCCCGATGACCGCTAAGGTGCGCTTTCACGCATGCAGAGTGACCTGTGTGTGTGTCTGGAAAGGATGCCTACCCAGGCAGGTGTTCCCCGAGCCTAGTTTGGCCCTTCAGAGGGCGTCGTTGTGAGTAGATTCTCTCGTGTGTTCTAGAACATCTGTGTGTGTGCAGGATCCACGCTGACTTCTTTTCCCGAGCCTGTCGTGGTCTTTTCATGTAACTCGGCATGGAGGATCTCTGTGCTGCTGGTGCCTGCAGCTCACCCCTCCTCTGCGTTCGTGCCAGTGTCCTGGGGCTACTGGAGCCGTTGACCACGGCCAGAGGGGCCTAAAAGAGCAGGAGCTTAAGGATTCTGGAGGCCAGAAGTGTGAAGTCAAGAAGGGGCAGGGCTGGTTCCTTCTGGGGGCCGTGAGGGAGCGTCTGTCCCGTGCTCTCTCCTGGCCTCTGGTGGCTGCCGGCTGAGTCGGGGGCTCCTTGGCTTGTGGTTGTGTCACCCAGTCTCTGCCCCTTGTCACACAGCTGTCTTCCCTGTCTCTGTGTCTCCGTGCCTTCACCTGGCTTTTCAGGAGGAGCCAGTCATTGGATTTCAAGCCCCCCTAGTCCAGTAGGCCCTCATTTTAACGCGTGTGTATCAGCAAAGACTCTGTCCAAGCAAGGCCGCACACACAGAGCCCAAGGTCAGGACTCCTGCAGGTGCACTGGGGATGCAGTTCAGCCCACAACAGCCTCTCTCCCCTCCCGTGGCTGCTCCTTCCTCCACCCAGGCTCTCCTGGCTGCTCCTGAGGTGCCTGACTCCACTCCGACTTTCTCCGCACCCCCTGGACTCTCATCTCCAGGGGCCCATGGTGGCCTGTGTCCTACCTCGGCTCAGACCTCCTCCCTTCCCACAGCCAGGTCCAGCTGGCAGCTGGACTGCCTCTCCTTAGATCCTCCTCCATAGTGATGTGTCCCCATGTCTGTCCCCGTGCCCCCGAAACCTGCTCTGTCCTTTTAGCGTCCTGTCTGGGCGACCAGACTTCCATGGAAGGATCTAGCATGTTGCCGTTGCTCCCCTTTCCGAAGTCCTGGCCTTTCCCTGTGTCCTCCCCTCTTCACCCCTGTAGCCGTCGCCTTGGTGCGGACTTGTGCAGCTGCCTTCCTGCCCCGTGGCCCGCCCCCTCCCCGGCTGTCCATTTCCCTAGAAACAGGTGTCCCCAGGAAGACACCTGCAGTCTCCCATGTTGCCTGCGAGCTGCAGTCTCAGCTTCTCAGCGTGGCCCCACTCCCCGTCAGCCTCCCCTCTGGCCGTGGAGCCTTCCAGCGCTGCCCACGCTTTCTGTTGTAGCTGGAGCGGTCCCCACCTGGCTGCGGTACCCTCACCCCCGCCTCCTGGATCCCCGTCCCTCCCGTGGCGGTCGTTCTTCACGTCTGCCCGTCAAGCTGAGCTCAGGGACCGCGTGTAGGCTCCTCTGCATCCCTGTGCCCAGCAGGTCAGTGTGGGGGGAGCAGCGTGTGCAGGGGGTCAGCCGGGTGTGCCAAGCAGGCAGTACAGCAAACACGAGCAGGCCATGGGCACAGACGCCGATGGCCTCGAGTCGGCGACTCTTAGTGGGGTCCGTGGGGGCCCACTGGGCCGTCCCCGGATCAGGATCTCCAAGGGAGAGCCCTAGCGTCTGAGTCCTCACCCAGCGCCCCAGGGGCTGGTGGTATGGGCGGGCGGGAGCGGCTGGGC